TGCACCTGAAATGCATAGTAAAGATAAAAAATACTAATGCTTAAAAGTTGTTAGTATTATTTTCATGTTTGATTAAATGCGGTTAGAGTTGAAATAGATAAATGGTTATTTATTTTTTACCCTTTGAAATTTTAATATTTTTAAAAGAGTGCTTTAAAAAATTTTCTAAACGAGAAAAAGACTGCACCATAAATATATTTATATATTTCAGTTACACAAGCTATATATTTTCCTTTATTGCATCATCAATTTACCGACATTTATATTGTCGCGAGCTTTTATTTCGCACAATATTCGACCACCCGCCCTCTATTTCCATTCCGTTACTTATTTTAATATCTCAGGATGGTGCGAAGATTAAGAAACTATATTTAATATAGTAGTTTATGTGTAAGAGGCATTGAGGCTAGTAAATTTTGATTGTAAAAGGTAGAGAAGATAGAAAGATAGAGGGTGATCACATGTTTTATCTGGCACAAGTTTAGACTTTCTGAAAATGTTATTTGTTGTTAGCATTTCCATTTGTTTTTCTTTTAAAAAAACTCATCGTAACCTTCAAAATTAACTTTTATGTCATTCTATAGTAATTCAAACATACGTAGTTTTTGTAACAAAAGTTGATAATACCTGGCATCACATATACAATTATATTTATTATGCTTATTAATATATGTGTAACTGTAATAAACTCAAACTATTCGAAAAAGAGCACATCTGTCTCTGAATGAAATAAATTACAATTAATTAAAGCTGATAAATGTAAGCAAATAATATGAATGGATATAACAAACTATAAATCGATATTAGACATTTGAATAATAGTACGAATGAAAGACTTAATAATAACCGGTTATAAAATCCAGCAACGAGTTGCATAACAACATTTAAAATTTCATGTTTAATAAGAATTTCACTTTGAAAACTTTATACATTTTGATACTTAATTTTGTGTGTAGAGATGATTTTATTTAAAAGATAAAAAATAATACAATTAAACACTTCATTAAGTGTGACCATACTCATAATATGACACACGACTTTTCTTTCCCCTCATATTTTACATATAACTAGCAAAATTTAGTAGCATCAATCTCCTTAACAGGATAATCTCTGTAAAATTCCCGAAAATTTCGACCAAACATACAGGCGTTATTAAGCTTCAAACTGGGTGAACACATTTGTTCCTTACTTACACTAACATTCATATATACAGAAAAAAATCATGTATTTTTCTGCATTTTTAAAAGTTTCAAGTTTTCAAGTCCAAGAATGTGAAAATCTTGGTCATCATTTCTTGAGAGATAACCATACTTTCCCTGTCATATGAGTAGTAGTGATTCAATACACCTTGGGGTATATTTTATTTTAAGCATTTTCCTTCTTCAAATTTATTTAATTTTTCTATCATATAAGAGAAACGTACATATATCATGAAGTGTATTAACTAATAAACTATGTGATTTATCATTGAAATATTTCTGATATAGTTTTTGGTATTTTAAAACATAACACCAACTAAGATAACTGTAGCAATCGTAAATTAAATCGCCGTTGACTATCGGATAACAAGAAACTAAATTCCAACATAATCCTTTAGTTTTATTCTGATAAATTCTAATGGTAATTTTTTTAGTTTTCGTAGAGTGTCATTTATAATCGTTGATATTTTAAAACGTTTTTCATATCCAATCTATACATATTATCGAGATCGACTGATAATAATAATAATAATAATAAGTATAGAGCCCAAACAGTTAGAAGTTGAAGTTAGAAGTTCGAAATAATTGTAAACAATTTTGTCATATTTATGGTGAAAAATTTCACTATGATGATATCAGAGTAATGGATAACGACCATTTATCGAGTAAACAGAGAGGATGGGCACGTAACAATTGTAATTTCAGTTATCGACTAAAACAATTTATTTTCATTATACGATGTAATTTTACATAATTTTATCACAAATTATCAGAAGAAAACATTACTGATGATGACTACAACCATGCTGAATTAGTTTGAAAACAATTTCTTTGTAAAATTTTGAAGATTATTTAAAATTATATCAATATGCAGACACGTTATTATTAGCTTATATATTTCAAAGTTTTAGATAATTGAGTTTAAAATATTATCATTTACATCCTGTATATTTTGTAACAGCTCCAAACTTAACGTAAAATTGCAGATTAAAAATGAATAAAACATTCATGATTTACTGTTAGCTCTAGAGCATATTAATATTCCGTATGATTTATTATCAAAAATCTCTTTTAAAATGGCTTGAAATTATGTAGTTTTAAAAAATAAAAAAGGACAGGAATCGACAGTCTTTGATAAGTTTTTTTAAATTAATTAAATAAAAATTTTATTGGTAAAATTTGGCAAAATGTAAGAAAACATTTAAGTTAACAACTGCTATGAACCTGGATTAACGTTTTAGATATCGATCCCAAACATGGGTAGAACATCAGCAAATAATAAACAACAATCAAACAATTTTTAAAATGAAAAAATTGACTTATATCGATTTTGGCATATGAGAATATAGCAAATTACATATACACAAACATTTTATATAATACTAGCTGTACCCAGCCAGGCGTTGCTTTTAGCTCAAAATGTATCTACTGTAAATGTATAACACTCCTCATGGGGAGGAATTTTAAAAAATCTTTTCTTAGTGTACATTATCTTGATGAAATCCATTAAAACGCAATTAAAAACGCAAAAAAACGCATCTAAAATATTAAAATAAAAGCCGAGTTCTTCACTGTAACCGTTAATTTTTTCTTTTGTCCATCTCCCCCGCGGGGAGGAGGAATTTTATCATCTATATTATATAATAACACGCGCGTATTCTAATACAACGTTATTTCAAAATTTTAAAGCAATCGGTGAAGAACTTTAAAACATTTAAGATTTTGAACAAACGAACATTTACATTTTTATTTATATAGAAGATTTAGAAATAAATACGGTAAAAAAAATGAATTTATTATACACAGATACTGATCCACTAAGGCTTCAAATTTACACAAATAATGTTTAACATCTAAAGGAATTATGAAATCTTTCGTAAAAACTTTTAATCATAAAAAATATAAGCAAGTTTTATTCAACACAGAACTGTTAAGACATCAACAATACGGAATTAATAGTGAAAATCATGTAGTAACAATATATTTTCAAAACAACATATATCTCTCCCAATTTTACAATAAAAATTTATTTCAAACATTGGAATAGATGTAATATCATTTGATCATTATACCTTTTACTTTAAATTAGTGTATTGTGTCTGTGAACAAATTTAATAAAAATACCTGAAGATATTAGAATGATTTCGTTAGACATCAGGAACGAAATACGTACACATTTATAACGACATCAGGAACGAAATACGTACACATTTATAACACGATAAAGTACACGATTCCTAAAAACATATAGGCCTATACTCTCCAGATAGGCTTTTAAATTTAGTTAATTTAATATTGAAATGCAAATAAATTAAACTAAGCAGGAAGATGATCTTAAGAAGTGTTGTTACATAAGAAAGAACGTTTAGGACAAGATAAAATTTTGCATTGTAATAAACGTATGTAAAGGTGCACGCGTTACCCGACATTGGAAATAATGCAAAGTTCTTACCAAATTTTATCTATATACTGATATACTTATTGTAATTTTTTTTGTAAAATTGATACTGTATTACTTATCACATAATTCTATATTTATGAAAGTATTACAATGAAATGTCATTACCTCCACTTTAACGAAATTTTCGGTATAACGAATATCACCATGACAAACATTTCGGTTTAAAGTATTAAAAATCCTCTCATTTACGAAAGAATACTTTCATTATAACAAAATATATAAATGCATACATCATTCGTTATTAGTAAATAATGGGTATTATGTCAAACAATCCGGAAAGATTAAATGAAATGTCTATTTGAATTCTCAACACTAATTTTAATCTTTGGTTATAGTTTCGTTTTGATGTGATTACCCTACAGTTTACTTGTTATTAAGTTTACGACAAAAAAAAATCGAGAATACCAAAAGCAACATTAATTTTCTTTGAAAGAGAACATTTAAATATTTGATGACACTAAAGTAAAAAGTAAACAAAAGATGTCACTGTTGTCCTGTTGGAATGCTACGTCACAGTACTGGATTTGATAGAAAATACTTTGACTATAAAAAACGACAAACACAAAAATTAGACTTTTTTTTTACCAGAAAATAACGGCTTCAAGCAGAAAGAACAATTAAAGAAACAGAGTCCATCTTTCAGTACAACTATATCGTTATTTTAGCTATTCGTGATATTTCTTTGATAATTTTTTTTATCACAGATTAAATTTTTTTTTTATAGTTAAACGTGTAAAGCAGCATTAAATGCAAATTTTATAAATTTTTCTAAACTATTATATGAATACTTCTCCTTTGAATTAAAATCAAATGCAAATTTCGGAGCAACAAATTTACTGAAATATGTAACAAGAGAATTTAATATTTTCCAAAGTTTTTAAATCAAACCCGTATAAAAATAAATTGAAAGTATTTTTAAATAGCGTAATTTATTATAATTTATAATTTTAAATAAACTTCTAATTTAATAAATTGTCAAAAAAATTATTATATTTTTAGCATAACGTTAAAACATGGAGAGAAACTTAAAGTTTTCATGCTTAAGTGAAAGTCTATGCAAGTGTTTTGGCAAACTTGGAAGAAACATCGCCCAACATCCGTATTACTTCATCTTTGTGCCTTCCATTTTAAGTGCTTTACTATCTCTTGGGTTGTTCAACGTGAAATATATTGATGATATCAATTACTTGTTATCTGCTGACAGAGGAAATATTTTTGAAATTCGACAATTCATAGACAAAACTTTTCCAATGAACACTTCGGAATTTTACGATTTACAAAGGATAACTCATCGTCCAGTCACACCTATGATCTACATAAAACACAAAAAAGATGAAAACATGTTACAGAAAAATGTTTTACTCGAAGTTCAAATGATAAGCGAAATAGCAAATAACGTTACCGTGCATGTTAATAAAAGACAAATTGGTTACAACGATGTTTGTGGACGGATCTATGAAAAATGTTTCGCAAATCCTATTTCTACTTTGTTAAACCATACGGATGATGTGATTTCCAAGAGACTGAAATTCAAGTATCCCATAGATATCGATCCTTTAACGTTTTCATATAAGATAATGTTATTGAATTTAGGAGGTGTGATCGTTGACGGTAACGATTATGTAGAAGAATTATACGCCCTGCGTTTATTTTATCCATTGGACTATAGTAACACAAGTAAAACAGAGTGGACTAAAGCTTGGAGTAAAGCTCTTCACAAAAGAATAAAGGAAAGCAATTTCAAGTATATTGACACTTTCCTCGAGCCATTCGCTTCCATGGATGTTAATGTTATGTCAGATTTGCAGGAGATAATACCATTTATAAGCGTCACTATAATCGTGGTATGTCTCTTCAGCATGCTGAGTAACATGACTAATAGTTGGATTAGAAGCAAACCGTGGATGGGTATCGCCAGTGTCATGTCAGCCGGAATGGCTGTAGCTGCCTCGTTTGGATTAATATTTGCTTGCGGAATAGAAAGCACATATTATAACGTTGCTCTGCCATTTGCAATTCTGGGTAGGTTATATAATAGGTAATATTATGTGTACATGTATTTTGTGACTAATATTTTGAAATCGTTTTTCAGTGACAGAAGTGGACGATTCTTTCGTAGTGATCGCGTGTTGGAGAACAACTAATACTCGTGATTCTGTTGAAAAGCGAATGGAGGATACGTATTCGAATGCAGCAGTATCCATAACTATAACTTCGTTAACCAACTTTTGTTGTTATTGTATTGCAACGAACTGTCCATTTCCAGTGATTAGAATATTCGGCATTTATGCTGCTACCTGCATCTGTTTTACGTATTTCTTTCAGCTGACGTTTTTCGGAGGTTGTCTGGCTTTGAGTGGATACAGAGAAGAGAAAGGTCTCAATCCCATTTCTTGTACATCTGCTTCAGGTAAAGAAAAGTTTATTATGTAATTTTTTAAAATTTATTTCATTTATATGTTATAGTGTTTCTGATTTAAAAGCAACCGGAAAAGGAGTAAAAAAAAGTAAATAGAAGCGACTTCCGTTTGAAAATATATTAGTAAATTTTTATTCCGTACTTCAAAGTTCTTTAATGTGTCTGTAAGTTGGTTGTGATGAGTCTAAGTCATAAAATTAAAAAAACACTGCTGGGATGCAACACGAAATCGTGCACTTGAAATCTTTAATACTTTATATGTGAACTAACGTACAAGTAGACAGATCAAACATTAAAGTTTTCAAAAATATAGTAACTACTAAAAAAAAATTTAGTCTAGGGTGTGCAACCCGCGGCTCGTAAGCCGCATGCGGCCCAAGGCAAGTTTCAATGCGGCCCAATAAAGGTGTAAACGAAACCGACAAATGTTTTTATTTTATTATTACTCATTGATTTCAACGGCATAAAGTCAGAAAAGAAGTTTCATAAAACCATAAACCTTTTTTCATATTTTAGTTTTGAGTGGAAATGAAATATTTTCATGTAGGCCTACTTGTAGATGTGTGAATGAGGAAGGATTACTAAATAAAGCTGGAGTTGTGACTCAAAGGACTACAGACCCAAATTTGGTAAAAGGAGAGAAAGGACAAAAGATAACAAGTTGTCAGAAAGGTTAAATAGTTCTTCTGTTAGGCAAACATTGTCTTAATTTTTCAACCTTTCTCACTTTTTTATCTTTTGTCCTTTCTGTTCTTTTTCCGCATTTGGCTCTATAATCCTATGAGTCAGAACTCCAGCTTTATTTAGTATTCCTTCCAGCGTTGCAAGATTTGGCTACATTGCGCCAAATGTGGATAGTTTTTTAGTTTGACGTAAAAAAGTATCATTTGGCGCTTTGGCTACTTTTTGGGCTACGTATCATTTATAAATATATTAGTTGATTAAAAATGCACTTTAAAATGGTGTTTCGTCGCCTTTTATTAATCAGAGACTCAAATAAACCAAATTTTTGCATTTTTTCAAATAAATGGATTTATCTATTTCTAAGTAAAAATTGAAAGTGTCTGTAGAAGTGATTTTTTTTTAATATTTTATTTCGTGATAAAGTTTTAATACTTATTATCATAATCTAGACATGTTAATCCTTAAATATACTTGTATATTGGACCACAAGTATATATTATATATACTTGTGGCTTGACTTCTTCAGAAACAAAAAGGTTGGACACCCCTGGTATTGTAAAAGTACGTTTTATTACATTGATATATTAAAAAAAAATTAAAAGCGAATTGATATATCTACACACAGTAATACAATGTTAGAGATTGGTCCGCCTGACAATCAGAAGGTTTTGGCATGGATGCCTTACTTGCAGTGGCATAACTAAAAGGAGAGAAATGGGCACTAGTTTACCCACTCGCCCCCTTCAGTTTTTTAGCCGCTGCAACTAAGGTATTGAAAAGTTGATTTTATAATGAGTGTATCACTAATTTATAAGTTAATTACGTAGGTGCCTTGAATTCGAATCAACGAGAGCGCTAGTTATGATGTTTCCCTGAGGCGCAGAAACTGTTTGGTATGCTTCTGTTTACTTAAACTGTCACGACGAAAATTCATATCTATATAACATCAAAATGGATTTGGAAGAAGTATCTCTCTGCGGTCCCACTTCAAATTTTCACATCATTTCTTCAATTACATTATATTTCATTACACTTTATTGTCGCTATGAGCAACTCGCATTAAGTAAAATCTCAATAAGTGTGACTTAGTCACTTTAGATGTGCAATTTTATTTTTTTCAATTCTGTCTGAAGCCATTATGAAATTCTGATTACACTGATATTTACGACAAAAACCATTTAAACTTATTTCATGGCCAATGAAAACAAGAAAATTAACTCAATTTACTAGAGTGCATTTCATTAGCGTATAGTACCGTATATTGTGGAGTTTTTCTATATTTAGCCTGTTTAAAGCCTGCAAATCTGAAAAAATACACGCGACAGGTCAAAAGCTTACAAGGTTCACTTGCGAGCAGCAATCAGAAGTTGCTCATCATTGCTTTATTGTATTAAGTGCATGTCATATATTGAACATTAAACTTAAAACTATTAATATGATAATGAAACTACCAGTAATTTAAAGTTTGCAATCTTTCATTTTTATAAGAAATTTTTAAATTTTTTATTTTCGTCAAATTTAAGTTCCTTTCATTTCGCGTAATAAATGCAATAGCCTAATTGTAATTTTAATATTTTTCAGAACGCAGCATAACTTATAATTATGAAGAAGAAATGCAAGAAGACGTTTTCATGAAGTTCTTCAAGGACAAAGTTGCGCCATTTCTTCTTTATTCTTCAAGCAAAATTATTATATTACTTGTCTATGTCGTTAGTTTATCTTTTAGTATGTGGGGCATTATTTCTTTGAACGAAGGTTTTGATATTTTTCATGTTTATCCCGAAAATTCAGAGATCAACCGATCACTTCGAGTGTATTATAAATATTTTACTGAATATCCATTTACTATTCACATAGTGATTAATGAAACTTTGGATTATTCAAACGAAGTCGTTCAGAAATCACTAGACGACATGATTAAAAAGTTCCAGTCTCATCCGAACGTGGCAGATATGGATATTTCGTGGTTAAAATATTACAAAGATTTTCAACAGCATTCAGCAGCGAAATATTCTTTTATGGGATACGATTTATCTACTAAACAGGATTTCGTCGATGCTTTACGACAGGTGTTTCTGAAATTTCCAGGAGCCAAACATTACCAGAATGATATCGTATTTAATCATAATTATACGGATATTATTTGCAGTCGTTTCTTTCTTTTAGCAAAAAATATTTCGGATAAAAGCATGGAGTCGAAATTAATCAAAGATATAAGAATGATGGCAGAAGAATTTCCTTTCTCCATTCTTATTCACACTTTGATTTCTCCTATGGTTGAGCAAAGTATCATTATTAGAGAAGTGGTCTTTCAATTTTTCTGGATAACGTCGTTAATAAATCTTCTTATTTTTATTTTCTTTAATCCAAATATTTTGTATTCGGTTGTCGTTGCTCTGTGCATTTCGTCTATTACGATACAAACTCTGGGTTATATGTCGATATGGGATGTGGACTTGGACATCGCTTCCATGTTCTGCTTAGTAATTTCTATGGGGTTTTGTATTAATTACCCTACTCACATATGTTATTCTTTTCTCACTTCCTCAGATAAAACCATAAAAGGTAGATTGCAGCATAGTTTATATAATGTGGGATTTCCGATATTTCAGGGCGCATTCTCAACCGGAATAGGTGTGTTGATCGTTTTGCACAAAACTATGGTTTTGAATAAAGCATTTGTTAAAATTCTTGTTATAATTGCGGTGCAAACTGCGTTTCATGCTTTATTCTTAGTGCCTGTCGTATTTTCTATTATTTGGTGTTGTATTTATATAAACAAAGCAAGAAAAAAGCATATATTTTATAACATGGAATGAAGGGTTTGTGCATAGGCAAATAAACATATTAATTGGTTTATATAAACTAATTTACTTTGTACAGAATGATTTTCTTCTTTTTCAGATTTTTTGTTTACCTTCATTTTGTTCTTTCTCAAAATGACAACAGATTTATACAACAAATATGTATAATCACCAGTCGTTTAGTAGAATATTTAGTTTTTTATATCAACTGATTATAGTTGAATACAGAGCAAGTTTAATTAATATGCATCTATATCCTTAATTTAATCAAAATTATTTTTTAATTCACTATATTAGTGTATTTCTATTAATAGGACTTATCATACTGGTGTACAGTACAAGATTGCAGCCTCACAGTTACACAGATTAAAATTGTTTTATTTTCAATTACCTGGACACATACAATTTGCGTTTCGGACTTGTACGTCCCTCTTCAGCAGGTATTTGACAAACCAATTCTAAATAAAATTCAAACAAACTTAATTTACCGACAATGTTTTTTCACAAAAAAATTTTTACGCCTACGATAATAAATTATAAAATTCCTACTATTTTAATGTTCTTTCTTTCTATTCCGTCTATCCTCCAATAATTCATTCCAATTACAATCACAATCAATATTACTTTTAAAACACTCCTGTATTAAATCCAATAATTGTTACATTAAACACTAACATTTTTCGTTAAACGTTGACATTTTTCAATAAACTTTACTATTTTATATATTTGTACATTTAAAACTACTTCCAACTTACATTTCTTTTTGTCTTTCTTCCATTTCACTTTGTCTTTGCCTTTGCCAGTCTCTTTCATTCACTTTATACATCACTTTCCTGTTTGTGACTATTATTCCTCTCCATGATTGGTGTATTTCTCTTCCGTTGTTGTTATTCATTCTATTGTTTCGTTTGATTATATTAATGTGTTCATATAATTGTCGTTTGTAATTATTTTCTTCTTTTTTTCTTATTTTAACTGATTTTAATATAATTTCACAACCTGTTAAATTGCAATGTTCCGCTACCGCAGAATTTGCATAATTTCTACTTATTGCTCTGATATGTTCTTTTAATCTTATCTTTAATTTTCTTTTTGTCTCTACAATATATGTTGTTTTCTGGATTACAATTGCAATTAAACGAATACACTACACTTTTTTCTTCCATTATATTATTTTTCCCCCGTTTTTATAACATAGATATTTCTTCGTTATATTGACTTTTTTGGTATTATATTAATTTTCTTATCTAATAATTTTTTGACTCTTTCATATATTTATGGGATATATCTTATTTTCACAAATTTTTTCTTCTTATCTATTAATTTTTTGGGTTGCTTATTGTTTTCTATATTTTTAACCCATTTATTTAACAATGTTTTCGGATAATCATTTAAGATGAACATTTTGATAATATCACTTACTTCTTTTTCCTGTGTTTCTATTTCAGTTGTTCGTTGTCTTATTTTATTGATATACATTTTAAATATATTATATTTCATATTAATCGGTATAATTGATTTATAATTAATTGTTTTTGGAATCTGCATAGGTTTTACATATTTTTTTATAAATCAGTTTATCTTCTTTTCTTATAATTGTTATGTCTAAATAATTAATGCTATTTTGTTTTTCTTTTTCTAATTCAAATTTGATATTTTCTTTTATTTCATTAACAGAGCAAGTTTGTTTAATAAATAAATTTTTTTGTTTCTTATGGTATTGTTACAGTGGGGTGCCGTCATTGGAAGCGGTGGATGCGCCGCTTCCCTTGTATTTTCTAAAAACTAAATACATATTAATTTTAATTTTATGAAAATAATCGCAGAATATTTTATTATAACTGCATTATGTATGTTATTACAAATATCTATACTACACGTAAGAAAAAAGAAAAGATCGCTATTGTATATTCGAATATTATCGAACATTAGTTGCGGAGTGGAAGCGCTGTATCGTCAGCATCCAAAAACCAGATTCGCACACGCGCTTTACGGAGCACCAACCTCACCCGGGCCGTATTCTGGTCACTTATCTCTCGTCTCTTCTTTCACCGACGAGTGACGTCAAAGCGAGAGACGTACAAAGTGGCGATTCTGGTCGTTCGAAACAATCTCGTCTTTATCCTTGACGTCACGATTCTATTCGGTTGATTATACATGTTCGGGTTATCTGCGCGCGCAACACGGTATAGAATTTAAACCAATGAAATTGTACAATTTTCGAAAGTGCAGAATACGAAAATATAGAGCACGTGGTACGGCACGAGGTAATCAACAAAATGCCTCGACTTACGTAATCCTCGGAACAGATGGAAGTTTTGATAATTGAGCTTCAAAATCGTCCATATTTACTTAAAGGAACATTGGACGGAAATATTTCCACAAATACTTTGCGGGATGGATGGCAAGAAGTTAAGGATAAAGTCAACTAATGTTCCACTGATCGAAGTGGAACCATTAAAAAAAAGATGGAGTCAGTGGCGTTCCCGAACTAAAAATAAAGCGGCTGCTTTAAGAAAAGATATATTTAGAACAGGTGGAGGGAAAAGAAGTACTCCACCATTAACAGACCTTAAAGTAAAGGTCTTATCATTAATTGGGAACGAAGAATTTGGCTTGGAAGAAGAAAATTTATTCGAGCTTGGAGCTTGCAGTACCAGTTCTCTTGAATCTTTACACGATGTAAGTAATAACTTTTTATTCATAAATTCATTTTCATATATTAAATATAGTCTATATATGTATATTTATAAATACAATATATATCGAAAAAACAGAATATAGTTCCCGAAGGAAATGTGGAAGCGCCTAGTGAAATAGTTGAGAGGGAAGCTCTTGAATCTGTAAGTACGTTATTTATCAAGTCAAGTAATTATATTTCTTGACTTCAAGTTCATTTAATTTTAAAATTAAATGTTTTAATCTTTTCGTTGTAATGCCAGATTCTGGATGTCGTCGTCATCGTCACCACTGATCTTCAAGTGAAGATATTGTAACTCCATTTATGGAGCAATCTATATCTAACCAAAATTCATTATTAACAATGTAAACCTTATTATAATCTTTATGGAATTTATTTTACTTTGAGGTTGATTTCATTGATGTAAAATATTAAAACATTTCTCGTTGATTAAATGCTTTTACTAGATACTTTTAATGTTAATTTTGGGTAGCCAATTTAAACAATTACTTACCTGAAATTAAGCATTTAATACAGATATTAGAAGACATTGTATATTTACTGTTTCAATTTTGTTTTCTTTTTTTTAATTTATAATGTACAATACTTAGAAATGAAATAAATAATAACTAGTGTTTCTACTTATTTATTTATTATTTAGAAATATTTATTTAGTCTATAAAGAATAAAGACTGGAAACGAAATTAATTTACTTTTTTCATTAATGTTTATTTTAACAGAACCTCTGTAATATTAGTTGTTGTGTAATATTCACAGCATTCTGATTTACAGAATGTTCTATTTCATTTGTGCTATCTTCATTTTTACAAGAAATTTCTTCTTCAAAAATATTAAATGTTATACAAATATTGTGTAAAATAGCACGAGCCATCAATATTTTTGCTGCTATTTTTCTGGAAGATACTGTAATCCTCTAGCTGACTTCAAGTCAAGGCAGCTGAATCTAATGATTAAAAATAATAATTATACATAATTGAAGGTCAGACTATTTACAAAAATATCAAATTTTCGAGTCTATCTTAATCCTTTTTATACACTCCAGAAGTAACAGTTAACATGGGTTTTTTTGAAGAATATACTTCTTAAAAGAAAGGTAAACAATAAGTAAAAAAAGATTCACAATGTTAAAAACGATCAAGTGTCAGCCTTCTGTTATAGGTTCTGACACTTTCCTGAGTGATTACAGAAATTGTATCCATATGCAAATTAAGTAAAGATAACTCGTAACTACCACCAGAGAGCCTGGAGCAGTTAAAAAATGGATGAGGATAATGTGGTGAGAAGAATTCTTCGTGTTTTTAATGTAAAGTATCAGAACTTTTTCTTTTCTGAATTACACATTCTTTTCTGAATTACCCTGTATCATCAGCAAATCTCATGAAGTGTACTTTTTCCCTCTTTTATTTTTATACCTTTGACTTTTCACCTGCAATATTCTCTTTAATATGTTTATTTATTAAACAGGTATCGAGTAAGGTTGCCAGAGTTTTCGTACACACTTCTTTATCTTTGTACAGTTCGCTAGTTCTTGTATTGCCGGAAAATTTTCTTTTTATATATGTAATGAATAAATAATCCTCTTTCATATATAATATAATATTTTAGACTTATCTCTCGATCAGTTTAATAATTTTAGAATAAAAAAGATTTATTATGCAGTTTGAACGATAAAATATATTTATAAACTAATGTAATTAATTAAATTCAATATTTATTTGAATAAAAGTCGCAAATCTAAACGATGGTAATATTCCAAGTCGGTTCTTTATGATAAACTCAGATATCGACATTTACTTTTGTTTACAATAAGAATTCAAAGTAATTGCTTATTTAACAAGACTTTATTTGTTTAAAAAAATGGTTTATGTGTGATCAAATACGATTTGTAATTAATCGATCCTGATATTTGGAAGTGCCTAGTGCATTACGTTCTCCTGTTTAAGAAACGTAATAACGACAAAATAACGTGAAAGTTATAGCAAATTATGGCGATTAATTGTTCCTATTGTAAAGCGCGTAGTGACCTGAGAGATGCTAGCTGACCGATGTGAATGTCGTGCCAACTTTCAGCCTATTCGTAAATGTCTAAGTAATACAGTCAACATACAATACTAACATTTTTAATTCTTAACTCAAATCTATTTTATATCAAAGCATGATATAGGTTATACTTGTAAACTATTAATTTCAGTACTTTTATAAAATGAAACGATTGTTATAGGCAAACTTTTATAAATACAGCACAGCGTCGATTTTCCGAAAGTCAATCATCCGAAACGTCAGTCATCCGAAAGAATTCCAGTCGGCAAATTTAAATTTTCGCCAGTGCTGTGGCGCTTCAATTTTTGGCTATGTCTTGGGCTACTCAAATATTTTACGTTTTTGATACTAAATTAACATCTAAAGTATAATTTTTTATTGTTTTTATATTTTTCAATATATTTATTTTGTTTGTACAAAATAAAAAAATAATTTTTAACGATACAATAGT